CCTAACGGCCACAGCGCTGTACTCGGAGACTCGGGACTTAGAGAACTAGACGGAGCTTCGAGTCCTGCAGCTCGACCCTCTCTTTTACAGGTGAGGAAACTGAGGCACGAGGAAGGTGGACAACCCAGTGTCAAGCACAAGCCAGCAGCAGGGCCAGCCTTTGGGTCAACCCTGGCTGCTGACCTAGGCTCCTCCTCCTCCACCTCACGGCCTATGGAAGTCACAAGGTCTGCACAGGAGTAGGAAGAGAAAAGACCCTGAGGCACAAGATGCTCCCTGGCCCAGCCAGCCTGAGCCGAGGGAAGCAGGAGGAGCGAATGGGGTGCTTTCAGAGATGTCTCGAGGGCACCTCTTCCCTAGGCCTGCCTCTCCAGCCCACTTAGACGCCAGAGGAGGAACTCCTGGGGTTCTCCTTGGTAACACTCTGTCCTTTTTTATTTTTAGAGAGATTTAGGGCACATGTACTCGCCAGAGAGACAGAAACCAAGAAATCAGTTCCCAGGGGGATGCCCACTCTGCAATCCCTTCTCCTGTATTCTCTTCTCAGGATGTTGGGCATGCATGTACACGTGGCCAGCAAAAGTTTTAATCCACAGGGGGTTGAGGGGGAAAGCAGGTGGCATGGTGGTTAATGTGCTGGACACTCCCACATGGCCAACCATGGTTCAAGTCCTGGACCTGGTGGCTTGCTTTCTCACTTTCTCTGTCCCTCTCTGGTCAAATTAAAATAAATGAATGAATAAATAAAATTAAATAATTCTTCATAAAAAAGTAGAAAAGTTTTAAGCCACTGGGTCCAGGACTCAAACTGTGGTCAGTCAACTACATGGGAACCCAGCTATGTAACCATTACACCATCTGCCAGTCCCGGTAATACGCTTTCCTCAGCAGTGTCTATTAGGTGCACAAGCACAGAGTTTTGTTTTGTTTTATTTTTCCAAGTCTAACCTCCTCATTTCCTGCTGCTATTAAAGGTGGCCATGGGGTCCAGCAGGTGGCGTGGTAGTTCAGGTGCTGGACTCCCACATGGCAGACCACAGTTTGAGTCCTGAACCTGGTGGCTTGCTGTCTTATTTTCTTTCTCTCTCTCGGTCTGTGAGTCTCTGCAGAGTGCACGTGACCGATAGCACATTTTCAAAAACATATACTAATAGGGACCAGCAGTTAGTGTAATGGCTATGTCACTGGACTCCCATGTAGTTGACGACGGTTCGAGTCCCAGACCTGGTGGCTTAAACTCATGCCGAGCACGTGTGCGTGC